TAATATAACATTTTATAAAGATAGTAATTAAATATTATGTTAGAACTTAATGATTATCCTAATTATATTTTAGATTTTTTATATTTAAAATGAGATGTTTATCCTGTATTTGATGTTTATCTACAGTTAGTTACAGAAATTCAGATATGAAGTTTTAATAAGTTGTACTTACGCACAATCTATTTGCAATCTTGAATTTTAAGTAATATGCATTAATAAACAGTACTTTATGCATAAAAAGTGGGTTTTAAGAGTTTATGTCAAATGCTTTATAATATAGTATAGATACAATAATACTTGAGTTTATGTTGGGTTCACGTGAGACCCTTTAGATCACCTTTTTTTTTACCTTCACAGTGTTTTTGATGTGAAAGTATGATTTTTTTTATATTCGCAATGATTTGCTGTGAAGTTTCAAGTGTAAAAAAGTGGTCTCACGAGTCTAATAAAAACAAGCTAGTCTTACATGATCCAAAATTGATTTTATTGTTAAACATACTACGTCACAAAAGATTAATAATTTAAAGCCTAACAATATGTTTAATTATAACACACAAACATGTATATTTTAATACCCACGAATAACATCAATACTTAGAGGTTATTTACCAGACGCTTACCCGTGTAAACGTTTATCAAGTCACTTTGTCTTACCGGATGAATACGGTAAAAACAAAAACCTTACTCGGTACGAGCGAAGACAATGACCGATAGTCTTATTCGATAAGTGAAGACGACGACAATTACCATGATTAATGCTTACTTTTTGGTGGGATCTTCGAAAGCTCGATCAAATTCATCTAAAGAAAATTGAATTAAAATCTTATCCAGTAAGTGAGTGTTAGTATTAGAGTTTTGATCGTAAACACTAACCCAGATATGTATTTGGTAAATGATCCTTACTTTTTACGTTCTAATATATGATCTGATCTGATTCTGACATAAAAAGTAGATCTGTATTCATCCCATTTTGTATCTAAACTTATATAAAAACCATTCCAACAGTTCTTTTTGAATTAGAACCAATAATTAAAAAATGTCAATTTTTTTTAATTACTTTTAATAATTTTTATTAATTTAATAAAAAACTAAAAATACGAAAAATAAAATATAGATTGTAGCAGGATCTTTACCGTATCCACAGATAATTACCATAATTATCGAATTTTATGAAGGGCATTTCCGTCCGTTCAGTGCTAATAATCGAAGTAGACCTCAAATACCATATAACAAACGCCTCCCTTCTCTCTCTAACAATTTCAGATTCCAATCGCATTCTTCCTCTTCACCCCCTCTGCATCTCTCCATCGATTTTTCTTCGATCGGTTTTAACAGGATTCGCCGCCGACGGCCGAATTCAATTCTTCAGATTCCGGTTTGTTAGGGTTTTGAACTGCCGGCGACGGGTAATCCCGAGTCGATTTCGCGCAGGAAGTTAGGGTTTTGAAATTCGAATTTTGGAGGCGGTTTTTACATTTAGTTATTATGCCGAGAAGTTCGAGGAGTAAATCGCACAAGCAAAGCAAGCATAGTTCGAAGGAGACGGCGGCTGCTGCGAGGGACTACTCGGGTTCAGACGAGGATGTGAAAATGAAAGAGAGAAGTAGTAATGATGGTAAGGAAGATGGGGTTTCGGTTAGGATTTCCAAGGATTCTTCAGCTGCTGGAGAAAGACGGAAACATGGTAAGGATCTATCTAGTAGTCATGGGAATGGGGATGTAACTGAGGAGTATACGACGTCGTCGAAGCGGCGGGAAGAGAAGAGTCATGGTGGTAGTGATAGGTGGAATGGTGGGAGTAGTGAGGAGAAAGGTGTAGTTGTAAACATAGAGAATAAGGAGTTGTTGAAGTCAAAGGATTTTTCGAAAGGTGTCGGTGAGTCAAAGAGCAAGAGTAGCAGGAGGCATGATGCTGAGAGTGCGAATGCCGTGGTAACAGAGAAGGATGAAAGTAAGAGCGGTAGTGGGAATAGAGGCGAAAAGAGGAAATCTGAGAAAGAATCTGCGAGAAAAGAGAACAGTAAAGAAAATAAGGAATCGAAGGACAAGGATCGTGGGTCTGATCGGGGAAGGAAGGTTCACCCTGATAAGCTCGAGCCTGAGGCATCGTCGAAACATGTTGAAAATCAAACGAGCAAAAGAGGAAAAGAAATTACTGGTATGTAACTTTGTTATTTTGGTATGTTTGGGAACTAGTTCGTGCCAGGAAAGTTATAAAGATTGTGTTGCATAAATCTATAATCGGTATGTGCGTAATAAGGTTTAGTTGGGAACACTTTGTGGTTGGTTGTGCATTGTACTACTTGTACATTGCTTTTGCTGAACCCGAGTTGAGTTATCAAGGTTGGTATCCATTTGTATGTGATGCATGGTTTCTCAGTGCTCAAGCGATTGGTCATCTGTAATTCTCTTTTCTGTAAAATGAGGAAAAGAAGACAATGCCAACCTTCTCCCATACACCATCCTTTTGTAATTCTTGCACATTGTGTGGGATTTATCAGCATTGACATTTCTACTACAGTCATCTTTTGGATGTTGTCATTTGGTGCCCAACAGTATTCTCTATAATACATAGTGTATCTTCAGCTTCTCAGTGGGACTTTCCAATTACACAAGCTCAGTTTTCAGTGGGGCTTTCCAATTGCACAAGACTTCTGGTTTTGGTTCCAATTGCATGATTCTTGTCTCAAATTCATTTATGCCGAGCTATCCTAATTCCTATGGCTAGCATTTTCATCAACCTCTTCATCCTTATGTATCATATAAATTGAAAGCATTGGAAGAAAATGTCCTAGGTACTTGTTTGCGGAAAGCATGGGAGTTGGAATGCACACACGAAAGGGGATGCAAGCAACGCACATCGAAGTAACCTATTGCCATAGAACTGCGGATATATTGAACCACATTTTTGGTTTTCTCTATCAACACCACTAGAGTTGCACTTCATGTTCTCACGTTTGGTTCAGTTTGATCCAATGCTTTTTAGCTTTTAAGGGGTTATATCGTACATCCAACTGCATAGACACTGCCTAGTTTCATCTGTCATCTAGACATCGTCAGACAAAATCATATATCATGGTGTATTGTGTTGTATTTTCTTTGTGAGCTCATTCATGACTCATTAGTAAGAATAATGACTTAACATTACACAGTTGGCATGCCCCTGTTATAACAGATTGACAGGGAAACATTTGTTTTCCACCCCACTGCTTTCATGTTCACAGCTATATCGTCATGCATATCTTTGTTCCCATTCATGCCATTTTTGGACGTACTTCTCATTATCTTACCACATCAGTCTCCATGGCACCTTATTGTATGCCTTCTCTAGATCAATGCAGATGCTAATAATACCGTAAGAGGTTTATTGTAGATGGATCAGTTTGATGTAACCTTAAGGGTGTATAGACGTACTCAAAAAATTTCAATCAAGCACCATAAAATTCTGTTCAATGAGAATTATTTTCATGAGAAAAGTTTTTGGGGACATTATTCAACCCGACTCTCGCACCGGAAATGTCAATATCGTCCCTTGGGAACTGCATACATGATTCTTAGATAAGCTTTTATTATGGTGTGGTGGCTATATCTTGGCGAGGATGTGCTTATGAATTACTTCTTTTTGCTTCTTAAAACCATATGGTCTTTTAGAATGGGGCTGTATCTATAAGGGAGTGGTATTTCATATGATATTATAGTTTTGCTGGCACACAAAACACGTAGTTTGTCTATCCGCTAGCTGATGTCTTGTAATCCGGTTTTGGCTTCTAGCTTATGGGGATGTCAAAGATGATTTACTTACTTTTCTCCTTCTATACCTTTTTTTTTACTTTAGTCGTCTTCTTCCAGTTCCACACTTTTACTTATGATGCTTATGCTACTCTTCTTGATGTTTCTTTGTGTTCCCATCTAGTTAGGTTGGTCTTTTTGACAATGATGCAATCATGTAGGGTTGCAGAGTGCTCTTATCTAACGAACATATGGATTAAGCTTATCCGTACTATAATAAACTGGGTGGGTTATGTATAGGGAGGTTTGATGATTTATTTTCTGTTCCAAGAATACTTGTGTATATTCATATGTTCTTGTTGTCACCAACTCTTCTTGTCTGACAGCAATCGTCACAAGTGTTCATGGTAATTCTGCAATATGAAGCTCATTGTTATATAGTTTCAAGTTTCATAAGGTTACTAGGTATTGTTTTGAAGGATACAATTACTAATGACCCTATCTCTTACTGGTGTTCATTTTCATCTTCTACCAGAGTGGCCTATAGAAGAAGAGTTGAGAAACCCTGAGTTAGAGAAGGAGCTTGAGAAGAGGATGAGGAGAAGAGGTGAAGGTTCTAGTGACAAGGATAAATATCAGGATGATGTGAAAGAAGGCGATGATAGACGATTGTCTACAAGAAGTGACAGGTCCAAGGATGAAAGACACAAAGACGAAGGATATGGAGACATGTATAGAGAAGAGGGTGTTAGAGAAACTAGACAAAGGGAGGATAAGCACCGGGAAGATGGTGAGCGAGATAGGAAGAACAGGGATGTGAAGCACCGAGGAGAAAGTGAAAGACACAAACACAGGGATGATAAATACCGTGAAGATGGTGAAAGAGATAGACACCGTGAAGATAAGTACTATGAAGATGGTAACAGAGACAACAAATATAAGGACGACAAATATCATGAAGATGGCGACAGGGATGGCAAACACAGAGATGAGAAGTATGTGGAAATCGGTGAGAGAGACCAAAGGAGCAGGGAAGGAAAGCGGAAGCAAGATGATGACAGAGACCATAGGCATAAGGAAGAAAAGCATCGGGAAGATGTGGACAGGGACCATCGGCACAGGGATGTCAGGCACCGAGATGATGCTGATAGAGAGAAGAGAGCAAGGGATTCCAAGTACAGAGATTTACACACCTCAAGAGACCACCCTATTGAGCCTGAGGCCAAGCGTTTGAGGGATGATAGTATCCCCGCTGACTTATATCATAGGAAAACAAACAATCGGGATGGAAGCCCAATTTATGATGATCGAGTTACCAGATACAAAGATGATAAGGATAGAAGAAGAGGTAATGATAAAGATGAGCCTAGTGATTATAGATCTCGTAGTTTGAAAGAGCAACGTTCTGAATCAGAAAAGAGATCTAGCGCTAAAGTAGACTCTGGCTCTGAAAGGGGAAGACCTGCCTCTCGTTATGGGGATATGGAAATTACAGCTAGCCATAGCCGTCGCAGGAGTTCCCCTAGTGGGAGCTCTTATCCAGCAAGAGATCATCACAGGTAAATTCCATCTTCTAAAAATTCTTAACCCCACCATCCTAAAGGTCTCTTATTATGTGTCTCAAGTTGGACTTACATTAAAGAAAATGAAGTGTGGGGTAGTAGCTTTTGATATTGCATGCCCTAAAGAACGGACATTTTGGGATACTTGCTATCTAGTCTTACTGCACACAACTTTGAGAAATAAGTCCTATTTCTCATATTGTTTATGCTGAAACAAATTTTCTTAGAGGCTTTATTTTTTGTATATTTATGCTTCTTCATGCTTTTCATTATTTATGAGTAGGGAAACAAATAGATATATGGTCGTCTTCTGATGCCTACTGTATTTTTTCCTTCTTTTATGACTTTGCTCAACTCTGGCCAAGGACACAAGCAAAGGTGTTCTTGTGCTGAAGTGTGCTGCATTTGCTGTATTGGATGAACACCAATAATCAATGAGCTGCCTTATTCATTCCCATTCTTTTGCGCCTTTTGTTAGTATAAACCAACCAGTAGTTTGTGTGAGGGAGACAAGGAGAGGGTGATAGGTTTCTGAAAGAAGAACACGTGTAAGCATTTTGTGTTTCCGTGGGAAGATCAATTATTTGATGGTGATTAATTGGAACTCTCACTTAAGGATCTTCTACTTAAATGCTGAAGGGGCATTTCCTTGATCTTTCTGTGGAAATATTTTGAAAGTTTTTCTATTAAGTACAGTTTTCAATCAGGGATTGTGACATGTTGATTTCATTTTTGATTCTCTTTATTCTGAAAAGTAAAGAACCGGAACATATATCTTGCATTGTTCAGGGTTCCAAAGCAAGAAGAAGCCAAGTATAGGGACCATGTATATGAAGAGAGAGCTCGGCATAATGTTCACACAAGTAGAGATATCACTTCTGGTCAATCTGATAAACTTTCTTCCAGGTCACTGGAGAAAGTCACTCTGAAGGATGACAGTTATACGGGTGATTTATCAGTTGACAGGCGTTTGAGGCCAGATTCCCGCTCTTCTCCGCAGGTAGATAAATCCCCATCATCAACAAGTAATGATCGCAGAAACTTGAGCAGGTCTGATGTTAAAAGAAGTCTTGATCTTGAAGAGCCAGGGCAGAGAAGTGGTGGTTCTAAGGATGCAAAGGAGAGTATGGTCAAGGACGTTAAAGGAAGTCGGGAGTTGGTCATGGAGACACATACTGATAATGAATTTTCGCAAGTTGATGGAGACAATTTATCTGTTTCATCACCGTACACGAGGAGTTCACACTTTTCTGGTAATTCCAAGTCTCTCCTACCACCTCCATCTCCCTTCAGAACAGGATCTGATAGTCCTTTTTTTGGTTCTACAGAAGATGACAGAAGTAAATCAAATAATCGTCATCGAAGAATGGGTGACCCTAACATGGGAAGAGCTCAAGGTAATTGGAAAAATGTCCCAAGCTGGCCTTCCCCCTTGGCAAGTGGTGGTTACATCCCTTTCCAGCATGTTCCTCCCATGTTTCATCCGCTTATGCAACAATTTCCACCACCAATATTTGGTAGACCCCCAATGAAATTAAACCCTGGTTTGCCTTACCATGTCCCTGACCATGGTCGTCCATTATCATGGAGGAACCAAGTAGATGAATCAGTTCCACCTCCTTTACATGGATGGGATGCAAATAATGCCGTATTTGGTGATGAATCTCACTTATATGGGAGGCTAGATTGGGATCGTAGAACCCAATTGAGCAATCGAGGGTGGGACCCAAGTGCTGATATGTGGAAGGGCCAAAACCCTGGAGCAAGTATGGATGCGCAATTAGGTCCCCAGAAAGACGGTTATTCAGCACACAGACCAACCGATGAAATTTGGCCAGGGCAGATGGGCCAGCATGTTGAGAATGAGCAGAACCAACCGGATATTCAGCCTTTGACCATGAATGGCAGTCAATCCAGCAATGCCCTTGAAGGAATCGCTCCTGAAGTTCAGAAAGTCACGGAAAGCCCTCAGATGTTTGAGGTTGTAAAGGAGGACAATACTCTTATTTCACAAGTTTATCTTTCGAGGATTGATGTATCTCAAGATCTTACTCAGCCTGAACTGTATGACCAGTGCACAAACATGATGGATTTAGATCAGGAAGAAGCATTATCCGATGAATTTGACTGCAAGATTTTGTTTTTGGAGGTAAAGATGATGTTTCTTTAAATATGATGCAACCCTTATCTGTTGGTGACGGACATCATTTTTGCAATTAATTGCATCTACTCAAGAAATTTCCATTGTGTGTAACAGGAGGGAGTAGAAGCCAATGTTACCGATGGTGCTTCGCTCTTTGCTGCCATAAATGATTCTGTTTTTCAGGTTTGTTGTCTTCAAGATTATTTTTATCACCTTCTATTTTTAAATGTTTGGTTATGTATCTGATTTTTGATATAAATTTGTTACTCTGCTCTGCAGAAAGCCATGTTTCTTTACAAGAAGCAAAAAGAAGAGTTCCATTCAATGAATGTAGAGAAGACATCTTGTCCCATTGCAAATTGTCCCGAGTTTGTCTTACCAACTGATCAAGATGAAGGTGGTTCAGATGATCGCAAGCTGGCAGAGGAGGAAGCTGCTGAGGGAACAGTTCTGGGTGTTAGCAAAGAAAAAGATGAACTGCCTACTCTAAAGGTTGATACAGATCCTTTGGTAGAAGCCAACGTTGTCGATGAGCCAAAGACATCAGAGGAACCAATGAATATGGAGGTGGATCGTATTGTTGTAAAGCAAGAGGAAGAACCCGAATTAACTGTGGAAAGATCTTCTGCAGTGGAAGAGATTATTGCACCTTCTGCTGGCGGTTTACCACCTTGTAAGGCTGAGGAGGCAAGCGAGTCTACCAATGAAGAGAAGAATGAGTTGGGTGGTGGCGGTGGTGGTGGTGGTGGTTCTTTGTTGCTGTTGTCTGATGTGTCAACTACTGCGGTGGCAGTGATGCCAACAGAGTCAATTGAGTTTGGGTCAGTAAATCTAAGTCGGATACATCACCATTCTCCTGAAAGTACACATTGAGACAATTTTTATATTTGAGCTTTTGAAATGCCCAGGCCCCCTTTCTATCTTCTTATAATCATTGCTCGTTGATCAATAAAACTTCTCCCGTTCAATTTATATTGCTTGTGTAGTCGTGTTTGTTTGTTTTTCTCAGGCACAGACCGAGTTTGAGCATCTTAGTGACCAATTCAAAGGCTACAATTCTGTTCTTGCTGCAGCTATGGAGTCTCTTGGATACAGCCTTATCAGGTGAGTATTACAATCATACCTACTTGAAGTTTTCCTATTTGGGTTCTTAGGTTTAATGTTAGTTTTAAACATACGGGAAATCAAGAAATATTATGCCTCATTTTATCTTTAATAAAACTGAACCAAACACACCTAAAGTCTCTGACTCGGAAGTAGGGTCCATGGTTTGGCTCGAGGAGGGATGTGGTGGAATATTCCATCTGCCTTGTGCTCGATTCCACAATTAACTTATTGGCCACAATTGTTGTGAAAAAATAATTTAAAAGTTAAAACTTTTTAATCAACTGAACGGTAATTGTCATTGATAATAAATACGCATAATAAATGTCGTACATCAAGTGTATAGAGATTGGGTTACAAATGGGTGGGTGTAAAGTAAAAGTTGGTTGCAAAGAAAATGGGTTGAAAATTGATTAAAATGCTCAGAGCATTCTCTTAACAGATTCTTTAAAATATATAATTAAAAATCAAGTTCTCCAAATAAAATTTATATAGGTTCTCTATTTTGAAAATTGCAATATGAATTATATTATTAAAATATTTAATATCTTTTATAAAATATTATTTTTCTCTAACATACATTTAATTGTTTTATTAAAATTGTTTCTGGAAAATTGCACCAAAATGGAACTAACTTTCACCTAATTTCTATTTTGGGGAACCCAACTTTCAAAATCGTCATTTTGGAAAACCAACTTTCACTTGATTCATATTTTGGGGAACCAATTTTCACCTGATTTCTATTTTGGAGAACCAACTTTCAAAATTGTCATTTTAGGAAACAAATTTGCACTTGATTCTTATTTTGGGGAACCAACTTTCAAAATAATTATAGAAAAATAATTAAAATTTATTTATTTTTTAAAAATTAATGCAATAAAATCTATTTTTCATTTCAAATATCGTTTTTTTTAATTTATATATCAAATTGAAGATTTTTTCGAAAAAAGTCCAAGTTACCACGATAAAAATTGTTTTTTTTTTGTTAATGCAATAAAAAAATCAATTTAATAGAAAAAAATAATTGATGTAATAAAAAATAAATATTAAATATCACATTCAAGATTTTTATTCTAACCAATCTGTGTTAATATTAAAGTTTAAATCAAATTAGGCAAATCCAACCACAACTTTGATAGAGACCCTTAAATTATATGTTACATGTTCAACAGATCAACCAGACCCTTAAATAAACAAAAGTTTGATAGAGACTCTTAAATGACGATTTTAAAAGTTGGTTCCCCAAAATAGGAATCAACCCCAAAATAAGAATCAAGTGAAAGTTGGTTCCATTTTGGTGTAATTTTCCCATTTTTTTTTAATTATTTTGCAAGTTGGTTCCCCAAAATAAGAATCAGGTGCAAGTTGGTTTCCTTAAATGACGATTTTGAAAGTTGGTTCCCCAAAATAGAAATCAGGTGAAAGTTGGTTTTCCAAAATGACGATTTTGAAAGTTGGTTCTCCAAAATAGGAATTAGATGAAAGTTGGTTCTATTTTGATGCAATTTTTCCTAATATAAAGAGAATAAAAGAAAAAAATTGGCGTTGGGTCAATCAATAGCAAAATTTACAGTTTCGATTGGTTACATAACCCATTTGATCTGTCCATTTTGTCATCTATCGTAACAAGTGTTTGTTTTTTACCCAATTTTTAATGGGATAAATTGCATACTTTAATTTGATTTTTATTTTGAGTAATATACTTTTAAAATTTTTATTTTGGTATCTGAGATGTAAAGTTTTAAACATTTAAGTACTCGAATAACCGGTTAAAACATTAAACTATTTTTTCTAATAAACCACGGTACATAAAAACTAATTTTAGATTAAGATATCAATGTCATCAAATAATACTGAGTTGGATCTTATATTTTTTGCCACATCAGTATGGTAATCGATTAATGCTTCAAATCTTACTCAGATACTTAAATGTTTAATACTTTATATTTTAGGTATCTAAATGAAAGTTTTGAAAGTACGTTACTCAAAATAAAAATCAAGTTAAAATACATTATTTTTTTATACAATTTGTCGATGTGTTACACTTATATGGTTACAATATTATTGTGTCGTCAACTATTTATGTGACAACAAATGATAAATAGTTTTGAAAGTGGTGGCAATTGCAATTGCATTAGCATGCGAATATAAATCAAACTATTAACTACATTTTACGAGTAAATGGGAGTTTTCGATATTGTCTAAGCGGCTGTTTGGTAGTTGCTGAATGATTTGGTGTAAAATAATTAAGAGGTTCTTATGATATAGTGCAAAATAAAATATAAGTATTTACAATGAAAATATTGCGCTTAATGGTTAAGGAAGACCCAAGATATAAAATCATTCATAGGGTTTTAGAACCATTAAGAGAAACAGTTTCTTTGCCAAATAAGATTCATCTCTTAAGAATTCAGTGTTTGTCTCTTAATAGAACTATTAAAAAATAAACAAACAACCCACAGGTTCAAAAGTTGCATTATAAAGAGATAAAAAAGGATTTAGAAATTTGTTCTAAGATTCTATGTTTTTCCATTGTCTCAACAATCAGGTGAAGACACATCGTGTGTGTATGTGTGTGTATATATATATATATATATATATATATATATATAATTTATATTTTATTTACTTTCTCTATTGATATATATTCATCTGATTGGTCTCATGCCGACATATTTTATTCGCTATTGTTGGTTTATTCAAGTTATTAACAAAGTGAAGGTTTATTTTTGGTAGAAAAAAAATAATCAAATGAATTTGATGAAAACTTGAGTTTTCGTGGTGTTTTTGTAATTTAATCGGAAATCAAGAATATCATTATATTTTATTATCATGTTTAATCAAGGTTTTAAAAAAATGCGTTATGGTGGTGTTATGACGTGTCATGTTAAAGCATGTTGCACGACTCCAAGTAGGGGTGTTCGTGGTGCGGTTTGAACGGTTTAACCTCCCAATCGACAAACCAAATCGCAATGGAGGTTTAGGAATTTTTTTTTAAACCGAGCGGCCTGGGAGCAAGTAACCAAACCGGTCAAATTGGGCCACAAAAGACGATTTGGTCTGACCTGTTGAGACAGTTTAGGCCTCTTATGTGCTTGAAAAAAAAAACATAATATTTATATTGAAAATGAAATTTCTATCAATATAACATTATTCAAGAAAAAAGGAAACCGAATTATAAAGATACATTTATTTCTATAACCAAACAAACATTGAAAAAGTTGAAAAAAGGTTAAAATAATCCACTAACAATAGTTGAAATTTTATACAAATATTGAGCAAGTCCAATGACGATTTGGATTTTTTGATTAGATTTTTGACGGAATTTAGAAAATTTGACAATTTAAATGACGTGGTCAATTGCGAAATGAAAACTAAAAACTCAATATCTTGAACAAACTTTTTTCAATTGTACCATAAAATTGAGCATATAACCTGAAAACTAAATATAATTAACATATGTGTATATTTTTTGTGGCCAGTTCGGTTCAGACCACTCAAAAAAATGTTTAAACCGTAAACCAGATTAGACCGAACAGTTTGACTATTTTTCATACCAGACCAGACCGTCAGACCACTCAAACTGCAAAAAACGATCTTGTTTGACTTGGTTCGATCGGTTTGAACGGTCCGATAGTTTTTTTGAATACCCTTAACTCCGAGTCGTGCTTGCAATGTGGCGCATATGATGCGTTATGACGGGTTATACTTAAGGGCTTGGATAGCCCGTGAAGTAACATTCTAACTTGTGTTAAGGCGTGAATGGAGTTTTTTTTTTTTTTTGTATTTATGTTTTATAAATCAAATATTAATGCAACTAATTATTCACCCAAGTCGGAAATTTATTAACCAAAAGTGGAAGGGGAGGAGTATTTTGTAATAATAAGGGATTGTTTGTTTACCTCTTAATAGTTTCATTAAGAGACAATATCTGAATTGTTAAGAGATAAATCTTGTTTGGTAAAAAAAAGTCGGTTTCTTAATGTTCTAAAACCCTCTGAATAATTATGTATCTTGCGACTCCCTTAATCATTAAAAGCTCTAATTTTATCGTAAACAATTACCAAACAATTATATTTATTTTAGACTATATGATAATATCATAAATAAAAATAGATTATATTCATTTTATAGATGATAATGAAATGAGTCCTGAGAGAACAAACGAAAAGTCCATCTATGATTCCCGAATCAGGAGGTGACAGCTTACAAAGGTCTCTTAACTACCATAAGTTGCATTTAAGCCCTTATACTTTACCTAAATTCCCAAACACACCCTTACATTTACATTCTGATTGTATTTGTAAGCTCGATCGACATTGGCATCAAGGTTGGTGTTGCTGTTTTGTGTTTCTACTAACTACTTGATTAAATCCATTACAGAGATCTACCATCTCCATCGGTTTGACTACCTGCATCAGAATCTAGTGATTTGTAAGTTTTCTGTGTGCTAGATCATGTATCGATGGTACAATTTAAGTTGTTGATGGATTGTAGGGTTTTATGCTCTTTGCGATTCTCTTGAATTTTGTTCAAATTTGATCAAGTTTCGGCAAGTATATACTTCGCCGTGGATTATGTCGGGTATGATCATGGTAATTTGAAGTTAAACACTGGATTTCTTTCCCTCTTTCTCCCTGTTCGGTTTATATTTTTGATCATGAACTGTAGGGTTGAATCTTACTAGCTACGTATTGTAGGATTTGATATTGCATCAAATGAAAAATAAATTCCTGTTCAATTGTTACGATCCGTACTTGGTATCTTATTAAATGGGAAGAGAGATGGGTTTAATAGCTGATCCAATTTGGTTATGGTTTTCGATTTTCATCTGTTGTTATTGTTAAAGAATGACATATCTGAAGCAATTTTGATGAATACGTGACTAAACATGATACGGGATTTATTGTCTTGAAAGCTCATGTTTCAAGTCCCTTTCCTTGTGTTCATTCCTTTGTGTGTTTTTGAAGCATTGACAATGAAGATTTTATATATTTTATTTGTTCTTAGATGCTTTGGAATGCAAAGTTACAAGAGTTGGCTGTTTCATCATTTGGTAGATAATTCAAGCTCCATTTGGTTATAACATCTTACTAGGTTTCTTGTTTGTGGGCCCCATATTTATTTATACGCGAATCAAGTAGATTGGATCAAGAGTTACATCTTCTCTTCTCATCATTCAAACCCATGAAATGAAAATGGTTGTTGGCCAAATTGAATGGAGCCTTATTCCACTTAGACTTAAACATGGTGCCTCTATTAAGCCCAAAAATGGAGATGCTTTCTTTGAAGGATATGAAATATAAGACGAAACTCTATGCTTTATCCAAACTATTTCACTTCACTCAAGGACCTATCTTTGGAGCGGTTTCTTTCTCTGGTGACTTGTTGATGAAAGTTTTTATTTATGTGGTGATTTGAATCGTTTGATGAGTTCCAAACTTCTGGATATTGAACTTAATGAATCTCATTTTGTCCATAGCTTTAAGTTCACTAAAGTGGAATCAAGCCATGGGTGATGATCATGGTCATGGTCCTAGAGGAGTAGAAATTTTTCCAGATCATTTTCCAGCTTCAACTTCTGGTGTGGAGACCCCTCAAACAAGAAGTTCATCAACTTCACGTGCCAAAAATGAATTTGAGGTATCATTCATGGCACAAATACAGTCTTATACTTTGATCATGTTCTATAAAAAGATGAATCTTTTTTATAAATTGATTTCATTTAAGTTCATTTGGTCTGCATTAGCATAGTTCCAGCAGCCGTTTGTGGGCTAGAAGAAGATTAAAAAGTGCTGCATCCATGTTGAACTTGCTTAGCTTACAGAAGAGGCTATCTTGGGGAAACGGCACAGATCGGCAAGAAAAGGTTAATATGATCATCCTTCGACCCTCATCAGATACATTCTTTTCATCTTTCCTGAAGACTATCATGTTGTATTGGGCAGATCGTATTATCTGCCAAGGAAGTGAAATCTCTTCAATCAGAACTTGCTGATTTAGAGGAAAGGGAAGCTCATCTGAGAGCTCAGTAAGGGAGCTAATACTTTTACTTTTGTAATATTTTGTATGGATGTATTCATCATCTTCTCCAAGTTCAAACATAAGATCAACAGAAACCGTGTTTTGGTTATGTTATGTGGAGGCTGGATGATGGGAACTTTCTCATTGTCCTTGTGTGCCTATATCAACCCGAAATCTCAAAGTTATCTGTTACTTGCAGGTTAGAACATATTGATGAGATTTTGCGCTCTGCGCATCTTTCAGGCTACCTACACATGCGAACTGTATTCTCCTCAACTCTTTTCCTCTGTCTCCTATATTGAGTCAATCTTTGAAGTCAGATAATGAACGACTATTTTCTGAAATGTTATTTTACAGAGATGGGCAGCATTGCCTGGAGAACCTCTTCCTCTTGATGACACAGAAGTTGATGACTGGCTTCCACGTTTTGTTGTTCTCCATGGACCATGCATCTACTTGTATTTTCTGTCCATAGGTAATAGATAGATTCCACTGTTTACATCATTTTTCCTTCATCCTAACTCTCCACGTTCGTCATATCTCTTGACATCAAGCAAACGGGACCCTGATGCAGTGCAGTTGCCCCATAGAATTTGATCAAGGATCATAAGACATAGCGAAGATCAATTGAGCTAATTAGTTAGGAAAACCAAATTAGTTGGGTCTGTGTACATCTCACCCTTCCCAGAAGGAAAGAGTTGAGAGAAAACCAATTTAAGAGAATGATCTCTGCAAAGCATCTGCGAAAATCAGAAGGAAAGAGTTGAGAAACACAGGAAGATAGTAGTATATTTCTTGGGTTTCTTATTACATCAACCACACACACATATATATGCAGTCACTAATCTCTCTCCATAACAGACTCTTCTCCCTCCCCCTCTTGCCCGTATCAGAAATTAGGTGATGTGAGAATTAGACTAGATTCTCCTCAACATTCTTCTTACATGCTGAGCTGTCAATTTCTTGATGGAGGCTGATAGGAACAAGTTAGGTAATCGAAGATTTTTTTTTTACTGAAGGCAGATGCAGAATCTGAACAAAATGTCTCCAATAAATTCAATATTCTGTAGAGAGGACAAAAAGTATGATAGGAGTTATTTGGGACGCAGGTTTAGGGTGGCAGGATAGGTAAGGTAGTTGGAGAGGGTGGTTGGAGACCCGGGAGGGGGGGAGGTAGAGAGTGGGCAGATAGGTTATGGGAATCCTGTGATAGAGAGAAGGATTTGTGCTTTTACTTGCCTTTTATATGTTTCACTTGCCTACTTTTTCTTTCTGCTGCTTATTCTTACCTCTCGCTCATCCTTTTTCACAAGGGTCTTCACGGAAATAGCTGATATACCCTTTGGGATATACGCTTTGGTGTAGAGGACATGTATGTTTACATCCCACCCCCAGGCCTTGCTTTAAAATGGAATATCGTAGGTTTGTTTGGTTTGGCTTGTAGAGAGGACAGTACTCAAGTAAAAATAAATTGTTGAACTCGAGACATCTAAAACAGACTCATGGACTAATATTTATACTAGATATCTAAAAGCTGCATCAAATAGAAAATGCTAGAATCAAGGGATAAGAGATGGTAGGTAAATGTGGGACTGAGGAAAGGCTTGCTTACATCTTAATTCTTAACCTTAGACCTACCTCCGGATGGGATATACTAGGTTTGTTTGGTTTGGTTTACTAGTAGATGTGTGAACTCAATGTTGAAAGAGTATTCAACCTGAGCCAAAAAAGCGCTCCAAGAAGAAGGGTGTTAATGAGCAAAACACCTCAAATAAGCTTCAAGGCAACTAATCACTACTTCGGTTTTGAGGTGATCATGCGAAGTCGAGTTTTGGCCAAAGACGAAATAATCGATGATACATGCACTTGTTTGTAATTTAACCTTCTGATGATTTTACTTAGCTGATCAGCCTGAAAAACTATTGCAGATTTAAGTCCTCAGGATTCCACCCTGTTATCTGATGTTGTTGAAGTAGGGCCAATGCCATGTGTCACTCAAGAAGAAGGGGAAACCCGACACTACTTTTACATAGTAACTCGCCACGGATTGAGATACGAGTGTTCAAGCACTTCTAAAGTCCAGGTACCATCCTTACTTCCACATGCATATTTACACATGGACATTATAAATAAGGGTTGGGTTCCGCTGACCCTTTCCGTGAGAAAATGAAGGTATCCTTGTATTGTGTGAAGGTCACAATATTTACATAATATAATGTAATCATTTAATACACAGTTGAATCATGAATGTGACGTGAAAGTCACAATTTTCACACAATATAAAGGTATCTTCACTTGCTCTCACCTAACGAAAATGTAAATGTCTCGCACGAGCTTGACTCTATAAACAGTTAATATATTTGTGGGATTTTCTTTCCTTTTTTTGACTGGTTTCTGCTCTTAGGTGGATAATTGGTTAATAGCTTTGCAAGAGAAATGCAAATTGGGGTCAGATTCAGTCACCAACCATAACCATAACCATAACATCTAATTTGTGAGCTGTGTATAATTGTAAGTTGTTGGATTAGGTGGTTCAGTGTTAATACTACTAGACTAGTTGGTCACATTCATGGTGGATTAAGAAGTTTGTTTACAAATCAAAAGATGGAATTTGCAATTCCAGTTATTATTATGGCACTGTTGTATTGTTTCTCTGGTGTTCTTGAAAATATAATCCACTTTTTTCACCAATTCAGCAATTTATAAACAATAAATAAAGAGGATGGTTCAAATAAAAAGGCAAAATATCGTGTAAAAAGTAAGAAGGTAAGGTTCATATGTGAATTTTTGAAAAAATCTATTTGAAGATGTATATGTGAATCCAGATAAATAATTTTATAACGTTGGTTCATGTATGTATTTTAAAATATATCTTTTTAGGATTTTTTTTTCCATTGATTCACATATGAACTTCTCTTCTCACGATGTTAGGGCTTCTTATTTGAACCGACCCTTACATAAATATAAGATTTGAACTCAAAACTTTATACAACACAATGTTCTAATCTGTCGTCCAGTCTCACTCATCTTCATCCAATATAAATCGGGTGTTGCTATATATCACATCTATTTATATCAAAATCAGATTAAATCATACGTGAAAAAATGTAAAAAGTAAGTCTTGTTGACGTATATGAGGAGAAAATCAATAGATACATGTACATTTAACAAATAATATGTGTATTTAGATTTTATCCCGTCCCTATGAATCTGATGCACCATCAACCCTCCAAGATTAAAATCTTCTGTCTCAAATTCTCATGTCCTATTTCTGTCCACCAATCACACGAACATACATAATCAGAGAGAAAATGTGAACATAAAGATAAATTTAAAATAATTAAAACTATAATGTATTTTAATTTCATTAATAAGACATAAATGAAATTTTAATTTATACTAAATAAATAAAACATTTTTTAAACATCATGTATAATAATTATACTTTACCAATAGGCAGCAGAGGGAAAGAAGCACTAGGAATCAACAATACGAAAACTTTGTTATAAATCATTCCTTAGCAGGTTTGGGACTAAAAGAATGGTTGGGACAACAAACACCCATCTCATTTGTATTTTGGATACCCTTATAACCATCGAAGGCTGTTGAAGTGATTAATTCTTGGAAATTGGGAAGCGTTTGTGGCTTTTACCAACAACAGATCTAATGTGATATGTTGAGGTTGATTTTTTTTAGATTTTTACTTTTAATTCTCTATTTTAAAGAAATTATAAAAGTTTGTTAAAGATATCTCATATTTCTTAAAGTTGTTTTTCGATCATATTTTTGTAGAGGACCCATATGACACATCTATCGCAAATATAAGATTTTATGGTCGATATTTATGAGATGGCGAAACAATTTTTTTTTAAAAAAATACGTAAAAAAAACTCTAGCAAATTGTCTTTGCATTTTACAGAATTTGTAGCTATACTAGAACGTCTCCAACATATTGTTCAAAATGGAGATTTTAGAGATTTTACTCCAAAAGGTTATTTAAAATTTTCTGCAAAATGAAAAAAAGTATGAATGGGATGATGAAAATGTTTAAATTTGGAGAATTCTCATAAAATGGTTACTTAAGTGTTGTTTACCAAATGCTTACTTGGGTAAACACTTACCAAATTACATTACATTTTCGGATGAACATGGAAATAACCATGAATCTTACCCGGTAAGAGCGAGACAATGACTTAGAGTCTTATCCGGTAAGTGAGGGCAATGACTATTAACACGGTCAGCTCTTATCGTGTAATTCGTTGCATAGAAAGCCGTTTTTTGTTGACTAAAATCTTACCCGGTAAATAATGTTGAATTTTACCGCCAGATGCTTATCGGGTGTGTTTGGTAAAGACCCCTTAAAAAAGAGAAATAATTTATTATTCTTTTCTATAAACAAGAATACTTGAAATTAAATGTTTAAGAAAAAGAAATATTATTTTATGAATAATGTTGGATTTTTAATAATATTATTGATATTGTAATCTTCAAAATTAAGGGGGTGTTTGAGATTGCTTATAAAAACAATTTAGGACTTTTAAAAAAATACTAGAAGCGTACTCGCGCAATGCAGCGAGATACATCGTGTTTTTAATATTTCATTTTATTCTTTATCTCAGTTGATGTTATAATATGGCTTTATGTGATTTTGAGAAAGCGATGATGTTTTTATTTTTGTGTAATTTTTTAATTCAATTTTTTTATAATTTAATTTATGTACAATAACGAAGTAATTTATATTTGGTTTAATAATATATTTTTCTTATAAAGATAATAATTAATTATTTTTTTAGAACTCGATAATTATTCTAATTATATTTTAGATTTATTATATTTTAAAATAAGATGTTTATCCTCTATTTGATTATATTTTTCCACAATTAGTTATACGAATTCAAAAATCGAGCTTTGATAAGTTGTA